TTTCCTAGATAAATCATCCTTGAGTGCTTGGCCCTCTCGTGCTATTTTGTAAACATGGTAATGTGAGGATGGAGGAAAAGGTAAAGAGGGGCTTTGGCAGAAGGCATGGGAGCTAATGCTTAATACCAACATTCCTGATGAACAGGGACCTCAAAGAACCTTCCAGGCTCATCTGCGAAACAGAGGTAAAAGGGAGCCTGCGTGTGGATTGCCCATGTCTGGCATGAGACAAGGCGTGTGAAAGGCGTACACAGGGCCCAGGCACACTTGAGGGTTATGAGAGCCAACATCTGATGAGCACTCACTACATCAGTAGTGAAATCACAGGACTGACTTTCCACCCAAGGCCTCAATCAGAATCTCTCCCTTTGCTGCATTTGGACAGAGTGTAAGAATCCCGCAGGAACTGGGAGCTGGGAATGATAGCTCAGAGCTGGAACGGCAGCTACACCGCAGGAAGGCAGTAGGTAGGAGGATTTTAGGGTCCAAGGCTGGTCCAAGACAGAAATGTAAACCTTTATCTGAAAAATAACTAAGTAAAAAAGGGGATGGGGATGTGGCTCAAGTGGTAAAGTACCTACCTCGCAAGTGTGTAGGACCCTAGAAAGAGGAGGAAGGAGGGTAAAGGAGGAGAAAGAGGAGGAAAGGAGGAGGTCGCAGGAAGAGGAGGAGAATTCCACCCGACGCAACATTGTAGCATTAGGAGGAAACATTGTAATGTTTCAAGTAAAGAAGGTCTCCTGGCCATATAAAACTGATCTTCTAATGTTTCAGCTACAAATATCAAAAATATGTAGGACCAGGGGCTGGGAAGATGGCTCAGTGGTAGAGCGCTTGTCTTGCATGCTTGGGGCCTTGGTTTGATTCCTCAGCACCACATAAGCAAAAAGAAAAAAAGCTGGAAATGGTGCTGTGGCTCAAGTGGTAGAGCGCTAGCCTTGAGCTGAAGAGCTGAGGGACAGCGCCCAGGCCCAGAGTTCAGGCCCCATGACCGGACCCCCCCCCAAAAAAAAAGAATATGTAGGACTGTCAAACAGTTGGATCCCAATTTTTATATTTCCTATTTTAGAGGTAAGTGATAAACAGATTTTTATTAAATATATGACATTTCACTATCCACTCATATATTAAACCACTTTCTAGCAACGGAGAATAGTGTCTGTTACATTATAGCAAGTCTTACTCAAGCCCTACAGATGTAGTCAATGCTCCCTCTGGAATTCCATGACAAATGAAGCCAAGTAACAGCCCTCAAAGAGCCTCCCCTCAAGAAAAATGTTACAATTTGAGAATAGTAATCTGGCTTTTGGTCAGGCACTGATTCTCTCCTTCTTCATATACTGAATGAGTACAATAGGCTGTCCTTAACGTTATGAAATTTATAAGAATGCTGTTGTCCATCGTTTAATAGAGACATATTAATAAAATACTCACTATTAAACTAAAATGATAATATGGTAAGTCAAATACAAGGAGCTCATAGTCTAGTGGAAACCAAAATAAGCAAAACATAATAAGCAGCCCCTAGAGGCTATAGGGCTAGATTGCTGTTGTAGGAGACAGAGCAAGCTCAGAACATGGCCTGCCGAGTCCAGTCCCCACCGGACCTGCCTCCTCACCCAGCCCTCTGGTGCTGGTCCTGCCAGCCTCAGTCCACTGCTTCAGGGAGCTGGAAGCCCCTGGGCTTCCAGCTATAGGTCAGGGACATAACTAGGAAGACCGTCAAAGCCAGCACTAGACCAGCACTGCGGGGCCAGTCTTCAGTCTGTGCTGCTTTTAAAGGCACCTATTTTAGGTAATCGGTTTCTTTGTAGAAATCACGTGATGGCGAGAATGACGGAAAGGGTAACATTCGATGCACTGCACTCATAAACTGATACGTGGGAAATGAACCCGCTTTGTACAACTAGCTAAAGATAGTTTTTAAAATTATAAAATTAAAAAGCTTAAAAAATCAACACTGATCAAGACAGACTGCATTCATAAACTGCTTTGTTAAACGGCAGCTCCTTTGTACTTCCACTTCAAGATAATTATTAAACAGTCACGTGATGCGTTTACATCGCCATGCGTGTAAATAAGCACGCTCAAGGTAATTATTCATTACACAAAACACAGTCAATGCATTAAGAATTCTGCCCTTCCTGGTGGTTTGAAGATTCCTCAAAAAACTAAAGATAGAGCTACCCTATGGTCCAGCCAGACCACCCTTGGGCATCTACCCAGAATATTATTACAAGTCAGAATCTGTTTAAAAAGAAAAAACACTTGCACATCAATGTTCATTCCTGCACTATTCCTGATTGCCAAGTTATGGAAACAGACCAGAGCCCTACAGAGGATGAATGGATCAAGAAAAATATGGTACATATACACAGTGGAATTTTACTCATCTATCAAAATGAATAATAATTATGTCATATGCAGGGAAATGGGTGGAATCTAAAACAAATCATGCTTTAGTAAACTAGGCCAGGCTCAGAGAGACAAGCATATGTTTTTCTCTCCTATGTGGAAGTTAAATCTAAAATACAGTCATACATGATAATATATACAGAGTTCTATACATATGAACACAAATTGGCTAAAGGATGTTATACTTAGGGGAGGAGTCCAGAGGTGTGACTTCTGAATAACCAAGGAACGGTTTATCAAAACGAATACCAGGAAGCTGAAATATGTTGAGGGGAACAAGGGGGAAAGAATGCTGGGAGGGAGGGTGAGAAAATGCAGTCATTATATTCAAGGTAAATTATGTACAACCTAAACTACAGAGCTTGAGGGTAGGGTTGGGAGGGGAAAGATGATGAACAAAGAAAGGATTGGCATTGATCAACGGTCATGGTTCACATACTCTGACCTCTGGAGTAGAAAGCCTCTTGGTACAACTTCTTAATAAAAATAAACAAATATGTAAAAAGAAGAGACTTCTACCACCCCTCTAGCTTTCTCCCCAGATGCTGCTAGATGGCAAAAAGAGAGAGAGATTAGTTTACATGTATATAAAAGGAGTATGATGAGTGTCTCTTCATAATGAGTAGTTTCTTGGTCCCAGGATGAAGCTGAGTTTTTTTATATATATTATATATTTTATTTTTAGAGTGCACCATAGATTAAAAAGAAAAAAATCTACTATTTGCATCTTTCATGCAAGACAGCCGCACGGGTGAGGTTTTCTTCTATTTCAGTAAAATGACAGTTGACTTCTTCCAAATTCTAAGTGGCTAAAAATTAATTATGTGATGCTTGGCTTTCTTTTTTGGGGTAAAAGCCTCTCCAGAGCCCAAAGTGAAAGATGGCATCATCTCCTCCAAAGATATTTATCACAGGCAGATGGACGACGTGGCCTGGGGCACGCATGGAACTCAGGGCGGGGCACAGGCCTCGGGAGCACCCTGAGCCTGCCGTGGGGAATGTAGACGAGTCTGCGGGGCACAGAGCACACCCCTGCTCACAGAGTTCTGGGCTGATGGCTCCAGGAGGCCCCAGAGGGACACCAGCGTGTCTGCGATGGCCGGGGGGTGTTGAGTAGACCCCAAAAGGAAGTGACGGTAGAGCTGGGCTCCGAGTGAGGAGGAGGCAGAACTGGGAAGGATGACCTGGCAGAGGTTGTGGCAAAGGTGGCCACCGGGCTGATGGTCAGTCACGCTGACCTCGGGAGCCCAGGGAGCCCTGGGAAGATGGGATCAGAGACCTGGGCAATGCTGGATCAGCAAGACAAGCGAGATCCTCGCTGGAATGTTTCACATATCCCCGCTTTATGCCGACAGGATGTCACACTAAATATACTGTCAGGCGTGCACACACTCAAGCTCCCTCAGTCCCTCGTGAGTGTGTGTGTAAGTGTGAGCATGGCTGTGAACTGAGTCGACCTAAGGCCTTGTACCCTAAGATTCCTGTCAACTGTGCTCATCATCATGTTCCTGTGCTGCTTGATTGTCCTCAAGAACGCTCCGGTGCCTAGGAAATGGGGGTTTCTGTACTGGGTGGGACTTCATGGCCCTGTGTGTGAGTGATCACCAGGGCTTAGCCCCCAGCTCCCCAGCTCTGCGGGGAAACAGGAAAGCCATTCTTGTGTGGCCCAGTGCCTGAAGCCAGAGCAGAGTGAAGCCAGAGCAGAGGCTTAGGTGAGGAGGTTCCCCTGTGTTCTGAGGTATACTGAGAACAGCACGCAACACAGACAGTAGACTCAGGATCAGAGACGAGCATGCCATGCGTGATCCAACAGCGATGTATGAAAATGGTGGGAGATGCTAGGGAAAAACGCATGACTTACACAAACCAGCTCAGCTGCCTGTGGGTCCCAGGGGAAGAGGAAGACTGAAGGAAAGTCAGGGAGACCCCCCAAGATTGTGTCGGTTGAGAAAGTTCAGTGGATGGCAGTGTCACAAACGAAGCAAAAAGGGAACTTGGCAGGAAGCTAGCTGGACATCAGGGGCCTGCGGAGGCAGCTGCCCCTGCCGGGAAGCTGACGTGGGGACCCTGGGAGAGAGCTGGATGTGTCTGAAGACCACACATCAGTGAGGGGGACCCTCAAGAGAGAGATGACACAGAAATCTCTAGAACGGGGCTCAGGAGGCGACAGTACCGATGGCCACCAGTACTTGAATGAAAATGGCAGAAGCAGCAGCCAGATGGGAGGACACAGAACATGTCCCAGAGCTGGGCCTGGAAGGAAGAATGGAGCAAGGGCAGGCGCTGGGGTGAATGAGGCTGGGTCCTAGGAAGGGGTTGGTCTGTTTGTCATTGGCTGTTTTGCTCCTGGGGTGGAGACACCCAACCATATCAGCGGCAGCAATGGAGGTGCAGGGGGAAAGATCTGGGAGTTCTTGAGACTGAAGGTACAACTGGGGTCCGGGAACCGAGGGGGACAGGCGGGAAAAGAAAGGTAGTGGGTCTTTGGTTACATCTTACAGTGTCTTCAAGATTCCAGTTGCATGGACTACCTTCTACCCCCAGGTTCACATAGTCTGTGCATTTATTCCCTTACCTCCGGGCCGTCACTCAAAGCCAGCATTCATTCTTGCTCTGTGCCTGCGGTTCAGGTCCCTTCGATTTCCAGGAAGAGAACGCCTTCTCATGATCTCTAAAGGCGGCAGAGGGGGCAGAGGCTCTGTCAGTCACACGGTGATTTGAGACAGCGTGGGCCGAGTATAAGTTGAGTGAGAAGGGCTGCGGCCAGCGCAACTTACAGAAGGCCCATGTCACGGGCCTCCACCTTCTCACACACTTCCTGTCCTCAGCGGAGCCGCCACCCACCACAGAGCCCGCAGCGGATCGCTCCCCACCCGCGTCACCCCGCGCCTCGTCCCAGCCACGGCTGCCGCCGTCCCTCGAGGGCAGGGACTGTCACATTTCTCTTTCAGTTCATGGGATCTGCCCCATGCTTGTCACACACATTTGTTGAAGTAAATTAAATTGTCACATTCAAAGCCTTCCCCAAGGCAGCTGCACTCAAGATGCTCTCAAGACCCCAAAGGTGGTTAGAAAGCTGCTTAGAAATCTTTTCTGAGCCATATCAAAGGGTTGGCCGTGCTCATTTCTCTCTGTAGAGTATTTTTCATCTCAGGTGAAATCTGTCCAGTGCAAAGGCCTCCAAGGTGGCCCCTAGTGTCACTGTCCTCGGTAGTCCCCTCCTACATGACCAGGCGGTCTGTGTGAGCTGTGAGATAATTTGTCACCTTCAGGCTCCAATTAATGTTAAGTTCTGAAAGGCTGCGACTTCACACTTGGGCAATGTCCCCTCTGTCTCTGTCGTCTCTGTCTCTCTTGGCTTCTCCATCTATCTCTCCCTCTCTCCATTGTCACTGGGGGACCCAGTTGTGACTTTTTAAGGAGATTCACACAACCTTATCAAAATGCCCCCACGACAAAACCCTGACCCCTCAGCCCAACCGTCCACGAGGAAACTCCTCCATATGAAGACCATGATTTCTGGGACCCCAGCCAGCTCCCACGGACAACAGCTCCCCTGCAGCCAGAACCATCCTGTTAAGTTGTTCCTGGGCCCTTAACCCCCAGCAGCAGTGAGATAATACATGCTTGCTGTTTTCAGTCTCTGTGTTTGGGGATTTGCTGACATACAGCAATAGATAGCTGCTTCACCACTGTGGTTATTCATCTTATTAATGGCATTTATTTCCAAACAACTGTTGGCTATTTTCAGACTCAAATCCAAGGGTCACTACGTCCTACCACAACAGACATACAAAAGAATAGGCTGTAGATTCTGAAAACAATCCCCAAAGAAATGAGCAAAGAATGGGGTCACCGTGATCAACTGTATAGGCCCCTAAAGTGACAGCCTAGAAGAATAAACTTGGGTCCTTTTAACAATTCAGTTTCAGGTATAATCTCTAGGACTTCAAATAAATTAGGCCCAAGGGAGAAAACTAGACTCTGAGCTCCCTGAGGTGTTCACATCTGGGTGATTGATGGGAATCGGGAGCTCAGAGCACAGAGTGAATGCTACAATGCTCTGGGGAGCTGCCTAGAAAATGCACATCTGTAGATGTGACAGATCTGTTTAAGGTCCTGCCTTGGCCGCTGTCAGCCTGCAGCAAAGTCCCCTCCCGATAGCAAGGGCTTGAGCAAAGTGCAGAGGCTCACCAGGCCTGCAGAGCGGGTGAGGACAGAGCGCTGGCCCCGGCTCTGGAAGGGCTGTGGGGGCCATGGAGCTAAGCGTCACACCGGGCAAGCACCTGGCACACGCCCCAGAGCACCCTGACCTGCTCTTCATCCCTTTGCATAGATAAGCAAAGGACACACCTGGTTTATGGAGCCGGGGTGCAGACGGGATGAGGGGAAGGGTCTTAGCCAGGCAGGGTCTGAAGGGCTAGCTTCACCACTTACCTAGCAGTGAGGGCCAGTCTGGCTGCGAGAGGCTCAATGTGCATCGCTCGGAAGATGCTCCGAGTGGGGCCTGGGGACAAGGCCAATGCTGACCTCCTGTGCTGGACTTGGTATTTGGGTTCCTGGTACCTTCTGAGGAAATGGGGGCCTAAGAGTCACCTTTCCAACCATTTGCAAGGCAAGTTCACGCCTTGCCGTGCTTTTTTCCTCTCACTAGAACTATTCATCCTTCAGGGCTTGACTGTTGTCACCTAGGGGTGAAAACAGACCACTCACCAAGAGACGGGTGGTAGGTTTGCTCTCTTCGGGTCTCGTCAGGAATGCGATCTGTAACACAGTAACAGCCTTCAGAGTAAAACCCCCTCTTTACTTCCAGAATGTTCTGTGGTTGTGTCATCAGTGCCACAAATATGCTTCTTAAGCAAAGAAACAGCAGGAGACCAGGAAATAGGTTTTGCTATCATCAGCACTAATAGGAAAAGTCACCAGAAACATGTGAAAAAAAAATAGCTCCTAAGACAAAGAAAGCTAACCCCATCCCATTTCAAATCAGAGGTCATATAAGGAGGTGGAAAAGTAGATTTGTGTTGTTGTTGGTGGTGGTGGTGGTGGTCATGGGGGCTGAACTCTGGGCCTGGGCACTGTCCCTCAGCTCTTCAGCTCAAGGCTAGCGCTCTACCACTTGAGCACAGCGCCATTTCCAGGTTTTTCTGTTTATGTGATGCTGAGGAATCAAACCCAGGGCCTCATGCAAGCGAGGCAAGCACTCCACCACTGAGCCACCTTCCCAGCCCAAAGTAGATGTCTTAACACAGACACCCCGAGAGGCGCTTGGCTCTCCCTGCAGAGTTCAGCCCAACCTCACAGATAAGGAGGTGCCCTGAGCCTCCCAGCTACGCATTGCCGGGGCCCGTGACTTAGAGAACCACCGGGAGCACACACACTTGCCCAAGACCTGGCCTACTCATCATCAAACTGAATCATGAGCCTGAAAGCTCTGTGGACATGAATACGTGAATAGTCGCAGCATTATTACCTAGTGATAAGAAAGGGACAAAAGCAAAACAAAATGGTTACTCTGTGTCATTTTGCTGTAATTATGGAAAGGCTGTATTTAGGTGTTTCCAAGTTTGAAGGACTCCTTAACAGGCCTGGGAGCAGGGCTCAGTGGTAGAGTGCTGTGTCTAGAAAGCACAAGGCCCTGAGTTCAAATCCCAGAACTGCTAAATAAATAAACAAGTGAATAGACAAATCACTACCAAATAAATATATGATGTTATTCAAGATAAAGAAAAGAAAATGGAGAAGCAATCTCGACTTACCCAGGAGATAATTCCTCCATCTGTAGGATCTGGCCATATCCCCAAAAATCATCTAAAGAAATATAGAGAGCAGCACTCATGAGACATGGAAGACAGGAAGGAGAACCTGATAACGCCATCTGGAGGACTCTGATAACACTGTGATTTAGTGAGGTTAGGATTATGTGTTATAGTAAATAACTATGTATGGTATACAACATGTGTAAGACTGTCAGGGTGGCACAGACCCGTAATGCCAGCATTCTCAAAGCTGTGAAAGGAGGATTGTGGGCTTGAGGCAGCCTGGGTTATACAGAAAGACTGTCGCAAAACAAAAATGAAAGAAAGAAGAAAGGGAGGGAGGGAGGGAGAGAAGGAGGAAGGGACGGATTGAAGGGAGGGAGGAAAGGAAAGAACAAGGGAGGAGGAAGGGAGGAAAGAATGGAGAGGGAGGGAGGGAGGGAGGAAGAATGGAAGGAAGGAGGGAGGGAGGCAGGAAGGCAGGAAGGCAGGAAGGAAGGAAGGAAGGAAGGAAGGAAGGAAGGCAGGAAAGAAGGAAGGACACAGAAGCTAAAGCTTTCAGTGACTCAGAATATATTTCCAAATGTTGTAGACCAGAAGTAGAAACATTTTATAAACTTGCACACGAACTAAGTTTAGATGAATTTTAGGGGCTTCTCTCTAGGAAATTTCCATTAGCTTCTCTAATACAAAGAGGTCCATATAGTATCCAGAAAACCATGCAACTCCTCATAGTAGTCAAAACCTTGTCCTAGGCCAATAAAAACATACTCTCAGGAGATAAACAGTCTAGCAAGAAAAGAGGTGAGATAATTCTGTAATATGATTTCAAGCCAGAAATTTATATGATTAATTCAGTGTACCAAGGCAAATCATTGCCAGTGCAAGCAGAGAGAAAAAGGATTTGGCCATTAACTGAGCATCTATTACATTCCAGACACAGGAGCAGCGGTATGTGTCCATCAATACACTCAGTGTTACCAGTGACCAAGAAGGTGACTTTTTTATTGCCTCTAATAGATGGAGAAGCTTCAGATCTTGATGTGAAGACCAAGTACTTCAACTTAGGCTGCAGAGCTAATGAATAATTCTGAAAAAATAGTTTTGCACAAAAAACCATTCCCCTTCTCTCCACTAAACAGCATATTTAGATTTAAAACTCTGTGGATTTGCTAATTGTTGCTTTAAAATCATGTCCCAAGTTTTAGGGAAGGAAGAAGGAGAAATCAGAAAAGAAAGAAGACAAGAGGTGGCTCATGCCTGTCATCCTAGCTACTCAGGAGGCTGAGATCTGAGGATCGTGGTTCAAAGCCAGCCTGGGCAGGAAAGCCTATGAGACTCTTATCTCCAATAAACCACCAGAACACTGGAAGTGGCGCTGTGGCTCAAGTGGTAGGGTGCTAGCCTTGAGCTGAAGAGCTGACGGACAGCACCCAGGCCCAGAGTTCAAGCCCCATGACCAGAAAAGAAGAAGAAAAAGTAAAAGGAGGTGAAGGAGGAGGAGGAGCAGGAGCAGGAGGAGGTGAAGAATAAGAAAGAAGGAGTAGCAGGAGCAGGAGGAGGAGCAGCAAGAGGAGAAGGAGAAGGAGAAGAAGAAAAGAATGAGGAGGAGGAGGAGGAGGAAAAGGAGGAGGAGGAAGGAGTGTTAGGAGGAGGGGAGGGAGGAGAAGGAGTGGGGAAGGGGAGAGGGAAGAGACTGAATAGAATAGACAAACAGGCTGGGAAAGGAGGAGGTGGGAGAAATGACGTCGTGGGTCTCCCTGTGAGAATCCAGCTGTGAATGCAGCAGTGCTGAGCCCGTCCCCAGGTGAGGCTGTGACTGCCCCGTCACATCCCTGGGCTTTCCAGAGACTGGCACTGAGCCTTAGAAAGGCTGTGGGAAGGGGTCGAGCCCCGGGTCCTACCTCCTCGCTGCTGTTGGACTCGGATGTGGAGGCCCAGCGGCAATGAGCCCACGTGTCCCGCACCTGCTGTGCAGACAGCTGCACGGTGCTCCTACACCAGGCTGTTGGCTAGAAAGGACAACAGAATGGGTTGAGTCTGCACTGACTTACAGGAGCGTTCATAGCCTCTGCAGCTAATTGGGCAGGACCCCTGACAAAGTGATGCGGAAAGGAAACACAAGCTCACAGACATCTTGATGCTCCCCAAACAACTTTTCCTCAGGAACTAAGCAGAACCATGAGGCATGTGCGTATCTCTTAGGAGCCCTGCGAGCTTCCCAGAAGCGGTGCCAAGCCCGCGGGACCTGGGCCTGGGATTTTAGAAGCCGATGCCGGTGACGCTTTGGTCCTTGGTAGGACAGATCCATGGTGAAAAGTTTCATGAAACAAAATGACAAGATGATCCTCTCAAGGGAAAGGAGACCTTCAGAAGTTGAACATCTGAACGCCAAGATGGTGGAAGCCAATGTCAGCTTGGTGGGGCTGCCCGATGGGAAGGGATTCCTGCCCACAGGGCCACCAAATGACAGACCCTGCTCTCATCCCATGCTGAGGAACCCGTGGAGGACCAACTACCGGAGAGACTCAGCAGCAAGATCACGTGACATGAGGGGACCACCATTCACAGTCACATCCACTCATAACAAAAGCTGAAGTGTGTCTGGAATTTTCTTTGCTAGAGGTCTCTTTGTCTTCACTTTCCTCAATGCAAACTCAGCCCCATGTTAAAGATCAGGAAACACAGAGATGGGGGAATTTTCTAGATCATTTAGGACCACAGATTCCACAGCTCAAGAACCAAAGTCCTCAACTCCTATGGAGTCCCACCCCCACAAACCCTCCCCTCTCCCCCACCACAGACCAAAGTGACCACACCGCATGTGGCTGAACCCCACCCCCCCAACAGCCAGGCTTCTTAGAGCTCAGACCCACTCTTGGCCATGGGAAAAGGGTGGCTCTTCCTCAAGGAACTTTCTGGAGTGGGGAAGTCTTCCATCACCCTTACCAGGTAGTAGCCCCTCTGGAAGGCACAGGCAGAGGGGTCTTCTCCACTGTCTCTCAGGCACATTGTTTCTCGAACACTGAACTCTAAATTCATAATCAAGCTGTCCTCATCCAGGACATTGACCTGCTCCAAAACAAAGCATCAGTCCACAACAGTATGTATGTATGTATGTATGTATCTGAAGTCCATAGGCTAGACAGGATTCTCTCTGCCCAGGGAAAAACCATCTACAGAATCACCCACTGGGAATGCTGGCGCTTACCTAGGCCATCACCTGGTAGTGTGTGCTCATTCTAAAGACCAGGGAGAAAACATGATTTACCAAATTTGTTCATTATTGACAAAACTGAAATTGAGGAAGCCAAGTATGAAGGTACACACCTGCAATCCTAGTACTTGGGGGTGGGAAAGGGGCTGGGGAGGAAGGGAAATGATGAGTTCAAGGCCAGCCTGGGCTATTAACAACATCCTGCTTCAAAACAAGAAAGGAAGGGGGAAGGAAGATAGGAAAATAGGAGGGAGGAGGGAAGGAAGGAAGGAAGGAAGGAAGGAAGAGAGGGAAGGAGAGAGGGAGGGAGGAAAGAGGAAGGAAGGGAGGAAAGAGGAAGGAAGGAAGGAGGAAGGAAGGAAAGAGATAAATAGGAGGAGGGAGGAAGAAGGAAAAAAGAAAGGGAGGAAGAAGAGGAAAGAGGATGGGAAGGCGGAGGCCGGTGCAAGAATGTATAAGTAAAGCCAGGACGGCTCCTAAATTATTTGAGAACTCATCGTCAGTACCATGGGTTTCACACTTGTGAATTTGCTCACTCCCTAAATTCTATTTGTAATTCCAAAATTAACAACCAAGGCATATGTTTTAAGATTGGAACTCAGAGCCTCTGGCTTGGTCAGTTTGCTTGCTCAGCTAGCACTCTATCACTTGAGCCACAGCACCACTTCCAACTCTTTCTGCTTATGTGGTGTTGAGGAATTGAATCCAGGGCCTCATGCATGCAAGGCCAGAACTTAACCACTGAGCCGCTTTTCCAGCCCTCCACCCAGTATTTTAAGAGCAAGAGACTGGTATGTCTTAGGGAGAAAATGCCGGTGTGAGTAGGCATGGTTTAGGGAGGAATTCCAGGGCCCAGGGCAGTGGGCTCTTGTTAATGAACATGAACTATACATGACATCAGGAGCCCACACAGACAAGGTTATATACTGATGGGCTCCCAAAAGGGTTGCAAGGCAAGGCTCATAGAAACCTAATCTACATTTCCACTAGAAGCCATGTTCCAGTATTGGCAAACTCAGTACTGATGGAGATTTTATACAACGTCACTACCACAAGTAGCAGGAATCAATTGTATGAATTTCTAAGTACCATTTTCCTACACAAACCCTCCATCATTTAATAATTCCTGAATGAAGTAATCAAGTGAAATGCACATGTGTTTTTTTGTTGTTGTTGCTGTTGGTGTTGGTGGTAATGGCACTTGAATTTGGGGCTTGGGCACTGTCTCTGAGCTCTTTTGCTCAAAGCTAGCATCTACCACTTTGAGCCACAGTGATACTTCTGGTTTTCTAGTGGTTAATTGGAGATAAAAGACTCACATGGGCTGGGAAGGTGGCTCAGTGGTAGAGTACTTGCCTTGCATGCATGAGGCCCTGGGTTCGATTCCTCAGCACCACATAAGCAGAAAAAAAAGCCGGAAGTGGCGCTGTGGCAAGTGGTAGAGCGCTAGCCTTGAGCTGAAGAGCTGAGGACCAAAAAAAAAGACTCACAGACTTCCCTGTGTAGGCTGGCTTTGAACTGTGATCCTCAGATCTCAGCCTCCTGAGTAGCTAGGATTACAGATGTGAACCACCAGCCCCAACTGTGCATGTGGTTTTATAGAGAACATCTAAGCCCTTGTGTGGGCAGATCAGACCTGTGGCTAAATTTACATGACCCAAGCGTGAGACCCCAGTGGAATGTTCCAGACTTCCTGACAAGTTGGGGAAGGCTGAAGACACAAAGGTGTTATGACTTATTAGGTGTGAGTTACTTTTTTACCTTATTATTCCTCCATTCCATCTTATTATTTAGATTCTGATTTTGTTTCTATTAAAGAGGCCATGTCTCCTGCTCGGCTCTCCTATGAATCACACCGTTCGCACTCTGCTCTTTCCTGGGGACTCTGCTTCCTGGGGTACCTCCATCCTATCTCCCCGTCTACGAAGATGGAGAGACCCTGGGGTTCCTGGAGGGTGTTTGTGGAAGATATGAGAATGCAAAGCAGCATGTGAAACACGCCCGAGAGGAAAGAAATATCACAGGAGAAACCAAAGAAGTCTGGTGAATGCAGCTTGACCCCGGAATCTGAATAGAAGAGCCAGACTTGCAGGTTGTAGAGAGCTGGTCTGCTCTTTGGTTACAATTTCATAGGAAAGCTGACAGAACTGTGGCCTGATAAAGCTGACAAACCCAAAAAAGCTGGACGACAGAAATCAGGGCAAAAGGCCACAAAAGAATGAGGATATAAAGACCCCTGGGAAGTAAGGACAAAAAGGAGAAAACAAGGAAGGGCACTCTGCCTTTGGGGCTATGACCTATAGGAAACAGAAAGCCACCAATCAGAAAGCAATTCTTCAATCCCTCCACTCCTCCCTGTTTAGCTCTGGGCCAAGCTCTGTAACCAAAGACAGTACAAGATGGCTGGATGGCGGAAGCCTTGTCTTCCTGAAGCACGTCCGTGCTACATGCTCTCTTTCTCTGCCACAGTTCTTTTCTGAAAAATAAAGTCCCTATCATCTTTATATTTGAGTCCGGCTTGAATTCTCCCTTGCCAGATGCAAGCTGCCCTAAATTTCCTGTAACATCTTTGGTACATTGTCCGATAAATCAGGGTTTCCATATATATATTGGGCGGAGGAGAGGGGGCAGATTTTTTTCTGACTTGGATCACTGAAAGGAAATACTGTGCACCCTCCACAATGCTATATGGATTTGTCGATATGGAAATAATGTATTATAAGGAACAAACTGTTAAGTAGGGTTATAGAATGAATTTTAATTTGGGGGGGAAAAATAAAGATAACCAAGGCCTATGCGGAGCCCGGGGCTGGGCACCCATGCCTGCGTGCTCTACAGAGTAGCTGGAAGCAAGCTGAGCTGAGCTGAGCTGAGCTGCAGAGGAGGCTGGAAGAGCCAGGAGAGAGCAGGCAGAGGAGCGGCCGCCGGGCGCCTGGCCAGGCTCCACTCTGTTCCCCTGAGCCTGGCACCTTTTCAGAACACCCCCCTTCACCTGAATTGGCTTGGGGGGCCTTGCTGTTCCCCCCTCCCTGAGAGACCCATTAAGATGATAACTAGGCAGAGAAATTACCTGGGGCACAGCATGGAGAAAAAGAATGTCTCGGTGCCTCTCTTTGCCTGGAAAGGACATTTCCACATTTTCCCCCTCTCCTCTGATAGACTTAGTCATTGAAACGCAAGGACACGTCCCTTTCCCAGGTCCCCAGGCTATCAGGAGACAGAATAGCATCCATTTGACAAAGGAAGGAGGGTTTCTTTGGCTCCAAAGCCTATATTTAGGTCCTCTAAGTATTGGGAACAGAATTAGTGAATTTGAAAGGAGGCTCACTTCCATGCAAGAGCAGTTCTTAATGGAACACAGCTGGGCTGCAGCGGCACCGAGGGCTTTTAGGTCCAAAAGCAGAGTGCAGAGAAACAGAACAGGACAGGACAAGGTCAGAGGATGGAACAAGGTAGAAGAACCCAAAGGAGCTCTGCGAACGTCTAGATTACAGTCATGATCAGGTCTCTGCCCAAGTCTAAGGTGAGACAACTGGCTATTACGTTTTCCAACCAGAAAATTTTTTTTAAAAAAACACAAGTCTGTTTAACCCATGGACAAAGGAATGTGTGAGGAACGGGCAGAGCTTCCCACGAACTTACTCTTTTTAACGAATTTCGGACTGCTCGGAACAGGTAGGGACTCAGGGCCTGCGAGTTCACCTCGGCCACAGAGGCACGGAGGGCTTCCCGCAGCAAGGAGGGGTCGTAATCATACACCGGGAAACCTGCACACAGAACGCAGCCGGAGTGACACAGGGCAAGGCAGGACAAGATGGACGGCTGCCCATCACTACAAGGAGGCAGCCCCGACACGGAGTGCCTTACCTGAGCAAAACCGGCTGTCCAGTACGACGGAAAACACCACCAGTATCTTCAGTGCCCACTTCTCCATCGTGGGAAGCAGGGCTTGAACTCGGGGCGGGGAGGTGGTCTATGTAGGGAACCTCAGGCAACCAGAGCCTCCTGAGAGCCACGTCTCGCTGAGTGTGACCTCGCCGATTGGAACTCAAAGTCTGGAACTTAAACAGAACCATTGATCCTGGGGTTAATATTTACTGCCCATTTTTTTTCCTATGGAAAGTTTCCAGCTTGAGGCCACTTTTGAAGTTTAGACCTCACCAAGGGACTTTAGTCCCCACGACAGAAGACGTGGAGAGTCACTCTCCAGGGCTCTGCGTGGGCTGTTCATTGTCTCAGTTTCCTTTCGTGCGTTGGGGGAAGGGGTCAAATGGTATGTTCAGCACCATGGTGAGTTTTAAGTCATCACCTATTTAGTTCCCTCCCCTGGTCCTCAAGACCTTGCCCTTGTTGGTTACACACACCAGCAGAGCTCTAGGCCGGGGCTGCAGCTCTCGCTGTCAGGCCTGGCCACTGCAATCTGCCAAACATAGAAGATCGGTGGTGGCGAGGAGGAGAGAAAAGAGAGTTCTTTTGTGGCCCAGGTGTGCCCATATACCTGGTACAGCCTGCCTTCCCCACAGGCACATGAGCTTTAGGTTTAAAGAGAGGAAGAATTGGGGTAGGAGCAAGACGTGTCAATGTTTCAGGCAAGCTGGGCACCGGTGGCTCCCGCCTGTCATCCTAGCTACGCAGGAGGCTGAGATCTGAGAATCGCAGTTCAAAGCCAGCCCAGACAGGGAAATCTGTGAGACTCTTTATCTCCAATTAACCACTAGAAAACTAGAAGTGGTGCTGTGGCTCCAGTGGTAGAGAACTAGCCTTGAGCAAAAACCTCAGGGACGGCACCCAGGACCAGAGTTCAAGACTGACAAAAAAAAAAAAAAAAAAAAGGTTTCAGGCAAAGTGTGGCCTGGATTGGCCAAGGCTGCAGTTCAGCTCTACGCAGGGGATCAGAGACAGTGTGATGGTTGTCATCCCTGAAGGGAGCACTCCGGCCCCTCATGCAAGTCCTCCTCATGCAAGTCCTCCTGCTCCCGCAGGCAGCCTGAGCATTGCCGGTAACTGTCCTCAGGGGAGGCCTCCCATGTCCTACAAGGCTCTGTGCTGCTATTCCTTAAAGGTAGTGTTGCCCCTTGATCAATAAAGCTGCTATTGATCCTGGACCTCAAAATGACCCCGGGGAAAGACTCCCAATATAAGGGGCAGAGGCAAAGCCCTGCCTGGGTCTCACCAGCCCTGCGTATGAAGGAAAGCCGGGCTTCTTAGGATGCCACAGGGTGGGGTCATGAGGATCCACACGTAGACTTTCTGCCCTGTCCCAAAGCGCCTTTCCCTCCTCCTGACCGTCATTCACCAGCACATAGAATGCCAGGGTAACCTCAGTGTAAGGCCTACACTGAGTCTGGCCCACAGCCCAGCTGGCTCCCCAGCCTCCTCCCTCCTCTGGGCCACCCTTCCCTCATTCAAGTTCAGCCTCCAGGGATCTTGGAGCCCCTGTTACAGTCTGGGTCTTCGGTGTCTTCCAAAGGCCCGGGTGGGGTGGGAAAGGCTTGGTTCTTGGCTGGGTGCTGTTGGAAGGTGGTCAGACCCTTTCATGCCCCACCACAGGCCTAAAGCAACAAGGCTAATGAACTGAAACCTCAAAGCTGAGAGTCCAAGTGAAGCTTTCCTGCTTCTCACCTGCTGGTAGCTGGTGTTGGGGGCCAGTGAGGAGACGCTGACTCACTCAGACACCCAGTAACCTCCATCCCCTGCCTGCACATGCGCTAGGCCTCCAACAAAACAAGAAGGGTGCTTTCCTCACTCCCCCCAAGGTCAGCCCAAGGTCAGCTGTTTCCCCTCACCCAGGTGAGCTCAAGTGGTGTCCTGGAGAGCTTCTCCGATCGACCTCCATCCTCGGCCTCTGTGGTCCTCCTCCCCAGCATGGACCACGTGTGCGTGGTGATGATGCTTGTTGGCTTGCATGAGCTTCCTCTAGTATACATCAGGTTCCGTGTCTCCGAGCTAGGATCGTCTCATTTCTACCATCTAGAAGCCCCTGGAACAGCACTGATGGAGGATATGTTGAATGAGTGATCCAATGGGCTTTGCTCCTAGTCTTCCTGTTTGAGAACGGCTGGAATAATTGGTGTGATGCCAGCACCCAGGGGTATATGCTGTGTGGGGCTGACCACTAACATCTGGAATTCTGTTATACTTTTAACCTGCTCTGAACTCAAGCCCGGTGGAGCCTTCCAGATTAAAACAAAGAAAAAGTCACCATCTGGCTCCAAACTCTAAGGTCTCATTAAATGAGCAGCAGTAATGAAAGAAATTGCAAAAGAGTAGAGGAAATTAGGGAGACAACAATAAAAAAAAATACTGTTCCCAGCAGAGAGCTATTGATTTTGTTCAGGGCTGGCTGGGTTGGGGAGGGATCTGTGTATGTCTCAGATTCTCTCGTCTGCAGTGAAGGGCTGGCACAAGGCATGCCGGACAGGCTCCAATGAGTATTAAAACACAATGACTTCAAAATGCATCTAGTAAATCTAGAAGATTAAATGTAGGCTGTCTACCGAAGCTCAGGCCGCAGTGCTTCCTTTTATCATTCCAGTTCGCAGGAAAAAAAAAAAAGTGTCACGTCTACTTCAGCCATTTTCTGCTGTGCCAACACCAATTATTTAGAGAAGGTATTACATATTATGTGGAACTAAGCAAAGTGCTTTTTCCCATAGCCCCGGGAAATTTATGTGAAATTCATCGCAGAAAACTTAAAAGAAGAGCCACTCGGAACAGGTTCAATAAAACCAGGTGGGAGGCTGTGTTGGAAAAATAAGGTTGATTGTGGTACAACCACTTAATTAAAATAAAATCATAAAATAAAAGATTCATGGCAGTTGTCTTGGCCACTTTTCCTTCGATTGTTTCTTCTCCTTTTAGTCAGTAGCATTAGTTGAAGGGGAAAAGTTACTAGATTTTTTTTATCTGTCCATAAACCACCAATTTGGTAGCTGCCTTTCAATTTGTACTGTCAAACCCAGGGTTTTGCACATGCTAGGCAAGTGTTCTACCATCAGCCCTACCCCAACAGGGTGATGTCTAAACTCCCAAACTCCAGCTGCCAAGATTTACCTCCCAGGCATTTCTCTGTTCTGCAAATGTCACTAGTGTCAGCCTATGTCTTTCTCGGAGGACAATCCGGCCACCGGTGAGCTAGTGCCACCCCCACACCTCCCGTGTCCACCCGAACCTGGAACTCACCACAGTGCAAGTTCTCCAGCCCCACCCAGAACCTCTGCACCAAAACCCCAGAGAGAAGATGCAGGGATTGTGTTCTGCAGCCTCCCATGTGACTCTGATTCATAGCCAGGTTTGAGAATTGTTCATCACAAGCTATGATCTTCAATCAGCTGACTTTGCCCTTGGGTACCAGTGTCTCATAACTACAGAACACAGTGCTCCTGGCATGGGGTGGACAAGCCGGAGGTGCCACTGGACACCCCCCACTGGGCACAGGTCAACCCCAGCACAGAGTTTCCCTTCCAGAAGGTCCACAGTGCACAAGCCGGGAAGACTAGTGTGAAGGAAGGAGCAAGCTTTTGTGTGGCAGTCCTGAGTTCGAATCCTGATTCCTATTAATTTGCCTGGTGACCTCCAGTCATCTCCTGAGTAAAATTCAGAGGCTGACCTCCTTGTGGTGCTCCTCAGAGATGGGTTGGGCAGAATGTCAATGTGTTACAAACAGGACCACACTTCCATAGTCCAGAGGTTCAGGGGTCCTCAGATGAGGTATGAGGAGCCCTCATCCTGCATATATCCCAGTGAATCATAAGGAACATGACATGATTTTTGTTTTTAAAGCCTGGGAACCAATTGGGCCCTGGTAGCTCATACCTTTAATCTTAGCTACTCTCTGAGGACCATGATTCAAAGCCAGCCTGGGCAGAAAAGTCTATTATTTCCAATGAACTAGCAAAACACCAGAAGTGGAGATGTGATTCAAGTGGTAGAGCTCCAGCCTAGAGCCAAAAAGCCAAGAGCAAAAGCAAGAGGCTCTGAATTCAAGCCTCAGTACTAGTGCCCTCTCCCCACACGCAGCCCAGGATCCATCAGCTCCTGAGTAGTAAGCAGGACTGGAAAACACCCTAGGGCTGGGCACCGGGCTTCCACTCTGCCTGTGTATCCCAGGAGCCCGGGATGTGGAAGAGATGTGGGGTTCTCCTTCCCTCCCCCCAACCCAGGCCAGGTTACCACAGCATTCCCCACAGCTACGACAACGGAAGACAGAAAACTCCACTCCCCATACACACCCATTTTCTCTAGGTGTGTGTGTGTGTGTGTGTGTGTGTGTGTGTGTGTGTGTGTGTGTGTGTGTGTGTGAACTCCAAGTTGGAGGACTCCACCGGGTTCCATTCTCATGCACTCTAAGCCCTTCCTTGCTCTGGTCAGTGTGACCTACCGTTAGGCCTCATTTCCTGGAAGTGCGAAAGTCTGTGGCCGATTCTTCAAGCGGAGGCACCAGGCACTGGGGCTCCCTTTGCCCGTGAGGACTGGGTCTGCACTGGGCTCCCTTTGCCCGTGAGGACTGGGTCTGCACTGGGGCCCCCTTTGCCCGTGAGGACTGGGCCTGCACTGGGGCTCCCTTTGCCCGTGAGGACTGGGCCTGCACTGGGCTCCCTTTGCCCGTGAGGACTGGGCCTGCCTGTTGAGAAAATGGGCTTGCTTCTCTTGTGCACACGTCAGGGGATGGAGACCGACCAGAGGAGCCAACAACACATCTGGAACATTCTTTCCTCCTCCTCCAAAGAAGGAGGTCATGTGGTGTCTGCGCGGTGAAGGGATGGTCCCTATGAATATTGGAGGGATTTCCTCCCTGTCTTGAAAAGCTTAATGTTTTTAAAAATAAAAAGCAGAAGCCTCTGTCCACCCTGTCCTAAGAGCCAAGGTAACCACTTCAGAGTTTTGGAAACAAAGTCGTGGGGCCTGAACTCTGGGCCTGGGCGCTGTCCCTCA